ACATAAAGAGAGGGAAAAGTAAAGGAAAGAGGGAAATAATAGGAGAGAAAGAAGTAAAATAATGAAAAGAAAGAGAGAGGAAGGGAGATAATAGGGAGAGGGAGTCGATGTGGTGTCGGCAGCCCTTTTTTTTTTTCTTTTTTTTTTCTAGGTATCCAAGCCATTCCTTTAGTGTTTTGGGCTGTCCTTTTCCTCTTATTGGGTTTTCCCAATCCTTTCAATTAAGGCAATCAAAAATAATAATAACTACAGGCTAACGACATTTTAGAGTCTGAAGGTTCATTCTTGAAATGGGCAATGGGGTTTTAATTTTGTCAATTTACACCCACGCATTTTAAAATTTGAATACGTTCTGTCAATTTGACCATTTGGTCTTCTGTTATATTATAAAATAAATTGTTATATATATTTAGTGTGTGTATATATATATATGTTAGTAGTATGTCCTTAAAGCTAACTAATTAAATGATAATTAATGTTAAGGATATCTTATGTGATAAATTATTATAAGTTATTAATGGGCAAAACCAATTATTTTCAATCATGATATTTGGTATATTATCATAATAGTAAACCAGCTATAGTCCTAGGAATATATAAGTGGACATGAGAACTATACATCGAGACTTATCATGGCCCCTAATCCTAAATATGTTTCTGGTCATAGGAATATCTATTGAGTGTTGATATTCTGCCAAGACAAGTACACATAGTATCTTCTCTATATGTAGAGAATGACGAGGTCTCAAGTCACTAAGTGTAGCGGCACCTAAATATGTGTGTAGGTGCTTGCATGAGAACAAGTACACTGAATGCGATCAAATACATGAGTTCTAGAATGAAAGTCTTTACTCACATGTTAATCTAGAACTCATAGACTACAATGCAATGGTGCAAACTAATCCTTCGACCTGAGACATCATAGATATCTTCTGACTATGTTGTATGCCTTTGAAGGTACTATACAATTGTGTTGTAAGAGACATGACCTAAAAGTGTTATCAGGACTCTTAATAAATTCATGAAGACAAATGAATGTATAACAAGGCTACTCTCAGTAAGGAGAGAGAATACTCAAAGGATATGATTGATCAAATCTCTGTGCATAGTAAGGGATAAGATTTGAAAGAAGAAGTTTTAAAATCTTACTAGGATAATCATATAAAGGAATAATTCACATTAGGATATTTGACATTAGATTCCAATATCTAATAGAAAAACTAGCACCAAAGTTCTCTAGGTTGATTTCTCTTCATCTCTAGTCTTTTTGGTGTAGATGACTTCACTATTGGAGTCTTGGGTTGAGGAGCTTGTGAGAAGAGGAAGAAAGGAAGACATTCTCCTACGAAAGTGTTCACTCTTGGCTTGTCCAAGAAATAGTAGTCAAGGGTAAACCCTCATACGTTTCTCCCTTTTCTATTTGTGGCCAAAAATACTAGATTATAAGATATTTGGGTTAAAATGAAAAAGGCTTAGCTCAACTAGAATAAGCGAAATTAATCTGACATTATGAATGTTTTTGTGTTATATGTTGTGATTAAATTCATTTCCAAGACATTAGATGCAAAGTTTCCAAGATATATATTATACCAAATTAGATCGGATTATTATCGGAATGAAGTAGGCTAAATCCATATATGTTCTGTTAATCTAATTGGTAAACAGATTTGGAACATAATATGATTATCGAATTATACTTCCAGATCCATCTCTTATTAATTTCATTGGATTTATATCAAAATCCGGTCCACTGACAACTGTATTTATAAGGTATACCTAATCTAGCAATATCAAGGTCTGCATTATTCATAATAGACTTATTTCTTAGGCGGCGTTTGGTTCATGGGATATGGGGCTTGGGAATGGGAAATCAAATATTTTCCTATATTTTGTAAGTCTAGACATGGGAAATAGTTGGCTAACACATGGAAAAATAGGGGGAACAATGAAGCCCTCCTTCCCCCTTAGGTTTCATTTTCCTTCCACTTGGAAACTAAGGGTAGCATTAAATGTGCCTTTTCAATGACTATTTTGTCTTCATTAACAATTTAGAATTACAATATAGCATTAAATGCAATTTTTTAAATATTTTTGTCTAATATGGGTAAAATTGAAAAATTAAATGAACTTTGTTTTACATTCCTACATAAACTAAACATGAGAAATGAGATAAAATGGTATTTTCCGGTTGTTTTCCCAACATTACCAAACATGAGAAAATAATCTTTCATTTCTCATCCCTAGGAAAAACACATGGGGCCTTAAAGTTGTTTCTCCTTGCACTTATGATTTGACTTCTTCTTTTTCCACTTATTATTTGACTTATGTACATTAATGCAATTAAAAAAGAATATTGTAGGGGACACTAAATTTCATTCCCAAATGAGGTGGCAAAAACCAGCATCAATTTTCAATGATCAAGTTTCCAATGTTTCAACAACAAAATATATTTCCAATATTTATTAAGGGATATTCATTGAAATGTCACTTGAACTTATACCTTAGTTTTAATTTGTCACATGAAATTTTTTTTTAAGTGAAATGTCACCTGAATTTTTCTAAATCCATGATTTGTCACCTAACTTTAACATCATCCAATTTTCCAACTATTTTCAAGGGTATTTTAGTCTTTTCATTTTCAAGGATATTTTGAAAATGGAAAAAATTATTATTAAAAAAATAAAGCTTAAATGTAAAAATGGCTACGGATTAAATGTGAAAAGATATATAATTTTTATAATTTTCAAGGGTCTTTTCATAATTTTTTTATAATGATTTTTCCATTTTTAAAATACTCTTGAAAATAAAAAGACTAAAATACCCTTGAAAATAGTTGGAAAATTGGATGATGTTAAAGTGAGGTGACAAATCATGGATTTAGAAAAATTCAGGTGACATTTCACTTAAATTATTTTTTTCAGGTGACAAATTGAAACTAAGGTATAAGTTCATGTGACATTTCAACAAATATCCCATTTATTATTATGTTTAAAAAAATGAATTAATTATGAGTAATTAATTTGGTAAAACAAATTTAACATAATAATAATAATAATGACTTAGTGAACCAAATGTCCCGAAATTGATGAATAGCACCCTATCCCACCACCCGTATAACCTTCACTGCATCACCTGTTATTGATTCGAATAATTATAAATAATATTTTTTGACAATTTTTTTAATACAAGTGATAGTCTAAACTATAAGGTAAATGAGGGGTTTCTCACTTGCATACTACCAAGGTGTCATGGGGTTCGAACTTAAGACAATTGGTCTACAAGTCAAGACTAGACCATCACTGAGTTTTGAGTGGTCTAGGGCTAAAAATTAAAATGAGGCCCTTAATATTTTTTTAAAACATTTAATCACAGTTTTACAAGAAAAAAAAAGTATATGCACATGTATTTTTATTTTGGCTTAAATATAGTAATATAATTGGACTAAAATAAAAATGCAAACCATGATATGGTTGACAACAACAAAAATCATCAAACTAGAAGAATTAAACATTTTCTTTAAGAAAGTGTTTAATTGCATATTTCTTGTTCTAAAGCCAATTAATACTATTTTAATATGGGCATTTGTTCTGTTAAAGATTGAAATGGTTTTTATTTTGGACCTTATAATTTTGAACCTTCCAAAAATTACTTTTAATATGGTCCTAACAATGTTATAAAACATTCAAGGCCCTAGGTCGTTGCCCTCGGGACCCATGCCCACGGCGGCCATGGTCAAGACCGTTTTCCTTCGTGTCCTATCATGAATATAATACCTATATTGGGTGACCTTGGGACAACTGAAGATCCAGAAGAATGGTTATGGGTTTTCGAAAAAATGAAGATGCGAAGGTAAACAAATTATGGAACATTGATTTCTATCATTGTGAATTCCATCATTTATAAATTCTTAGCATTCCATTTGGATTTAGAACAATAACTCATGATTTAGCTATAAGTCATTTATATTTCTATTGCTCGGCAACTTAAGCGTGAAACTTATTAAATGACGCACCGAAACATTTATGAAAATTAGGGATCAAGATTTCCAAGTTTAATTTCTGCTAAAAGAGTGGTTATTTCGCAATTTCTATTTAGAAACAATTCATTTTTCCTTCTAATTTCTATTATTTACAAAATTTGACATACATAAATTCAATACAAATTCAAACACTAAAATTATTAATTATCATAAATTTAAACTATGAATATTTAAATTCCGTCATTTAAGAATTCTACGTATTTTTCAAATGCATTAGGTTGAAGCTGAACATGTTGTTTCAGTGAGTGGAGAGAATGCAACACAATGCTGGAGTAAATAATTGCCCTGGAACTGGAACTGGAACTGCAGAATTCATAAGAAAATAACTCATAATTACAGCATGATTTAGGAAATGAAAATATGTGGCTCATTATAGTCCCTTTAAATATGACTTTCTCTTTTATCGTTCATCCATGTACGTTCAACTCCTTAGTCATCTTGTACTTAAAATTAAAAAAAAAAACCTAGTCATCTACCCTTAATACAGCATGGCTTTTTAATTTTTGCTAAACATTTAGTTTGATGAAATTCTGGATTCCAGGCCAAACTTATATAGATTATTGCGGACAATAACACAAACTCAATCTACTTATTTCAAGTGAAATTCTTAAGACTTTCAGCTCTATCTATAAATACGCTGTCAGGTTTAAATAATAACTTGGACAAAACTGTAACCAGGGAAGAGAGCACTGAGAAAAATATCAGTAACCAAATCTTTTCTCAAAATGGAATCGCTAAATGAACGAAGGCAAGTGATGGAACAAATTATGCCAGACACATACAAATACCGCACATTTGGGATGAACGATGTTGAAATCTGCTTCGCCTCTAGCATTAACCCTTTTCAATCGGTCGATACCAATATAAACATGAAATACGAATATGCTAGTGTTAGGCGTCGCCCTTTCGCACACGTAAACACAAAGCAAAAGACACATTCTTACAACACAATCATTCAATGCGAACAAAACACACGATACCTAAAATAAATGCATAAAATATTTATTTGGAGAAAAGCTAATTTGATTAAGACCCAAGTAATGTGCTCACTGCTGCATCATGTATCCCCTGCCTCCTGGGGAAAAATCAGTAGGCGGCCAGCAGATAAGCTTGGACACATTCACAGCTGTTTCCTTTTATGTTACAAATAGCAGAGTACACAGAAAACAGTTGCTAACACAATTGCCCAGCCAGAAAGCCTAATACCACCTACACTTACTAATACAAAAACATTCACCTACTACATGTACTAATACAAAAGCATAAATGTTCCGACTACAAACTGGTATAAAATTGTGAAAAACCTCTCATTCCAACCACGAAAATTTTGCTCGATTGTAAAAAGAAAGAGGGAAACAATATATATGTAGAGCAAACAGAATAGTCTGATCTTCCTAACCACAGAAGGAAAATTATACCTTCATCAGTATCGAACCAGCAATCTCTTGTATCTAGTCTTTGCATATTAAAGTTATTCACCCTCATACAGAGAACAGAGAACAACCACCACACCACCCACATTTTACCACTCATGCCTTCTTCCGCTGCCTGTTGTGTTTAATCTTCACCATTCTTCGGTTAGACTTGTCACCACCAGTGCCCAACGAGAAGCTGCCCCCTTGACTTGCACCCAAACTACCCGAAGCCTGAAATGGTGAAGGGTTCTGTGGGTTGGCTAGATTCTGTTGGCCTGAAAATTGGAAGGGATTCGCCGCTGGGACTGCAGGTGTAGATCCAAATGCATAGCCAGACTGTGGGTTTGAAACAGGCTGTTGACCAAACACAGGCTGTTGACCAAACACAGGCTGCTGACCAAATACTGGGACTGTAGGCGTAGATGCCTGATTAGTGTCTTCAGCCATGCTGTCTACAAAGTTCATTTGATCATTATTACCCGAGGAACCAAATGGAAAAGCAGGATTTGGGTTCCCAAATGCAGGCTGTGATGGGACAGTACTAGCTGCAGATGAAGTGAATGGGAACATCGAAGTTGAGGATGCACCATTGGATGATCCAAACATCATAGATGCCCCATTGGCATTTGTAGAAGAAACTGCGGAAGCTCCAAACAATATAGGTGCGCTGTTTGTAGTAGCAGCGGCAGTTGAGGATCCTCCAAAGACAAAAGGCATGTTACTAGTAGTAGCAGCAGTCGAGGACCCTCCAAATACAGTAGGTGCAGAAGTAGCCAAGGATGCTCCACACGACAACCCAGCTGACAAAGATGTTGTGGAAGCAAATGCAAGAGACTTAGGGGATTGCCAATTGGAACCAAATATGCCAGGAGCAGTACTGCTACTGGAGTTGGCCTCCAATGAGGGAGCAGAAGAACCAAGTCCAGTACTTGCTCCTGAACTAAACAGATTAGGAGCAGAGGTTGAGCCAAACTGTCCAGTACTTCCAGACAACCCGAATGATGGTGAGGCAGCTGATGATGCAATTCCAGTCTGCTGGGAAATAGGAACAGATCCACTGCCAGCACCACCACTAACAAATCCAAACATACCACTCCCTGTGCTTGGAATGGCAGTAGATGTGGCAGCAAAAGAGGTGCTGCTTAGATTACCAAAGCCCTTGTCTTCCTTGTTCTTTCCTTCAAACGAGTCTAAGGAAGAATTTACTGGAACTGGTGTAACTGCAATTGAAGCAGTGGAGGATTCAAATAAAATAGGCGCAGCTGGCAATGAAGTTGCTGGATTTGAGCTAGGAACATTGCTACTGTTGGTGGTTACTGCAGTTGAAGCAGTGGAGGATTCAACTTTGAAATTAGGCACAGATGAAAATGAAGGTGCTGGAGCTGAGCTAGAAACATTGCAACTCTCGGTGGTGACTGCAGTTACACTAGCGATGTTGTTACCACTGTTTGTGTTGGCAGTGAGGGTCATGCTACCTGATGAATTTGGACTTGTCAAAAAAGCTGAAGGAACGGAGGGAGAAAATGGAGGGGTTGACCCATTATTTAGGCTTGAATTATTGGAAGGGGTGCCATTGAATAATATGCCTGTGGTTGATGGTGCTGATGATACAGAGAACAGAGCAGTTTCAGGTATCCTAAAAGAGACTCCAGCATTATTCTTATTATCAGCTTTATCTGATTCAAGTGGTTTGAATACAGAATTTGTTGCAGCAGCTACAACGGCAGATACACTGCAGATGAAAACATTGATATATAAATAAATAAATAAATAAAACAGTACTTTTTGGGTGAACATAAAAATTAGTAACACCACTAAAGAACAAATGATTGAGATTTCCACATGATACCACTGATTACATTTTGAAACGAAAGAGAAAGTCCTTTCTCTTTCGTTGTCCAGTTAAGAGCTTGTATCAATCACCACCCATCACAGGAGCAGCCCCTCAACCCCATTTTTCAAACCCTAAATCACCACATAGCCACCAGTACTAGATCTACCCTGACCAAATGAAATTCTGGTGGGGAACAAAAGTACACAAGCATTAAGGCAGAAGGAAACCATAATTTTGAAGGTATTCTAAGCACTTTGTTCCTTTTGTTTTAACTTACCATGGTACGAATGTCTTCAATTGTCTTTCATTCTTTGCTAATAAATAAACGCTTTATCTATCAATATTGCATTATTTTCGCTAACTGCCTTCACCACTAGCAAAGAAGATTGAAAATATAAATCCAAAAACTGCTCACACGAGAACCCACGCTGAACTATACGAAGGTTCCAACAGACGATAGCTTAATTTTTCATTGCCACACTAAGTGAGCACTTTAAACTGACATTTACAGGCAACCTGCCTTCGTGGTATTAGGTCATAAACTACCTTCATGGTCTTCGGACATGCATATCCTCTACCAACTGAATGATATTCATACAGTTCCAATCCATTTGCCCATTCCTTTATAGGAAAATCCTTCAGAAGCCTAGGTTTGTTTATACACTTAAATCTCTTTTTATAAAGAAAAAATAAGCAAAAGATAAATGCAGCAAACAAGGGCCTTCAACAATACTTTTCAACAATAGGAGAATATTAAAAAGAAAATAGGCAAATTATCATACGGACCTGCTTGAGCTTTCAGGATTGGGGACTGAAAAGGGACCAGATTTTATGTCAACAGATTCACAAACTGCAGGTGACGAAGTGAAAGCAAACTGTGGCTGTGCAACTTCGTCAACACTCTTAGAGACATAGTTAAACACAGGAGAAGCTGCATCTGAATCCTTCATTGAAGCAACTTTACCCCCAAAGTTAAACATTGAAGGACCAGCATTTGATTCTTCTGGTGGAGCAACTTTATCATATGTAAAGGATGGCTGGGTAGATACCATCTTGCTGAATGACAATGCACTAGAGCCAATAGTGTTGGTACCATTCTCAGCAAGCACAGACCCATCAGAGAAAGCTAGAGGCTTCTCCAGTGTAACAGTTGCTGTAGCAATACTGCTCTTCTCAGTCGAGAAAGTCTCCACCTTAGAATTGTCATCATCATCCAGCTCAAGATAATCCTACAAACCATACCCATAAGGTTCAAATATATCACAGGATAAGGAATTCAATAACAAAGAAATTAATAATATTCATTTGCTAAACATTGAAAGAAATATTAAATCTAGTAAGATTTTCAAATTGGAACTGATGGAATCTAAATTGAATTTGTAACAAAAATTTTAATTCAATTGTTATTTTAATTTGTACTTTTCTTCTCCAATTCCTGCACGAAAACAACCCCCTCGTAAACTTGATCTATTTGATCAGCAAACGCTTACTATACAAATCACCTATGAATTTGTAACACAGCTAGAGAATCTTATAATCTCAAATGTAAAGCCCCCAATCAGTAGCTACTATGTTTTTATTTTATTTTTTGGGATACCTAGAAATCCATCAATCTGCTTTCAGGACACAGCTATGAAATTGGGCCCAGCCCTACAGTCTCTGCAAGGCAGAAAACACTAGGAAGTAGCTAGGTAGGTACCTTTCGGGGTTTACAACCTCAGACCACATGGGCCTGACAATTCCAACTAACCCATGTTGGTGTATGTGCTATGATCAAATTGAAACCAAAATTGGTTATATCATGTCACTAACATTTCAGAGCAGTATAAAGAAGAAAGTAGAATAATTAGGAACTTAGCTTAGTAAAAGACCCCAAGATTATCGGGGAACCATGGATGACAAGAAAGCACAACTATACCTCATGTGCACTCATCCTGAATGCCCGTTTCTTTTGTGGAGGATGAACAACAGCGTTTGATGCAGTAGAAATTGCAGTTTTAACATTTGGCACAATATCCTTCTTTTCTGTTGTAGAATCTTCACCATTCATTAGTATAGCTGAACTGTCACAAGGAGCTCTAATTCTCGATGGGCCATTTTCTTTAACCCTGTCCTCATTTTCAGAGGTGAAGTCTCGAGCATCTGGTATCAATCGATCAAATGATACATTCAACTTAGAATTACTCTTATTATTATGGGCATTATCCATAAATTTTGACGAATCCACATCCTCCAGGCTTTTCAGAGCCTGACCACGTAACATGGATGGTGAAAGCTTAGTTGGCGATTTATCTCTCACAGTATGTAGATTGGTCTCAGATGATTTCTCTTTAGGAGAGACCAACTTATCAAGCTGCTCCAGAATTTTGGAAGCCATCTTGCTGGATTTTGAGGGAACAGAAGAGAAACTTGTACTAGGAACAGCATTGTCCCCATTTTCTGACAATGCTTTATGCTTAGGTTCACCCAATGATAGTGGCTTCCATATTGAAGATGATGGATTTTGAGCAGCCTCAGAACTTATTCTAGTCCCGCGAATAGAAGAAGTAGTGCTGTATACTGGTGAGCTCAAGCCTCTTGAAGATAGAAGATTAGGTTTTTGACGAATTCTACGAATAGGACCAACAGATCCTATGTCATTGTCTAAGACTGAAAATCTGCGTTTTAAGACCTACAAAAGAAAAAACAATGAATCTGGATGCAATAAGTACAAAATAAAGTAGCATCTGATAATCTTCAGACTTCATACCCCTTGTTTAGATCCAGAAGGTTGGCTTTGCTCCAATACAGACTGAGAAGACGACGCCCCACCATAAGCATCAACTGTGGACCCAGCACCCTGAAGTACGAGCAAAAGAAAATGTAAGAGCCTCAGTCCCAATAAACATTAAAAACCTGAAAGGAACTGTAGTCCTTTTCTTACACCCAGAAATCCCCCAAACCCACTTTGCAGATCAGACGGTGGGGCACACCGCCGAACCCTACAATGCAGGAAACTCTAGCAACTCAATAAATAGGTTGAGGAATCCAATCCACATGGGAGCAAACAGGCCTAACCACTCAACTAAACCCTAGTTGGTTGAAAGGAGCTATATTCTCATAGCAAACAAACCTTGAATGTTGTAGTTGTGCGAACTCGAGAGTATGGTGTTCGAGCCATACTGTATATAGCAGATCTGCCTCGCGATCTAGGGGTCACAAAACCATTTTCTTGAGCCCCCCCATTGCCAGAAGTCCATGGCACAAGTGACATCATTGGCGATTTTGACTGAATTGGTAGACTGCTCAAAATAGGTGAATCTTCATGGTGTGCTTGACCTCGTAATCCTAACATTGATGGGGATACTTTTGAAGGCCTACTGCCCATGTATGCTTTTGCGAGCTCTGCAGGTGAAGCAACATCTTCATGAAGGACCTGAAGACATTTTGAACCACTAAATGTCAAAAAAGTGCCAAAGTTCAATATGTTACTATTCCACAATTATTTTTAATTAGAGAGTAGCAAGCATAGCTTTCACAAACTCATCAACCAAAGTATACAAATGGAAAGCAGGTTATCATACACTTGTATTGACAACAGGGTTTGAAACAAGACGGCTCTCAATCCCATTTTTGTCTTGCACTGGAGTTCTAAGAAATTCCTCCTTTCTGTCATGAGAAACCACTGGCTTTGAAGGCACCACTTCTGACCTTTTCTCTTGATTCTCAATTGGTATATCAACAGTTCTTGAATGCAATAACGCTGTCAATCGATCAATTTCAGATCTGCAGATGTGATTAACATTCAACTCACAGTTAAGCACATGTTGCAAGAAAACAAGTTCTAATCCCCACAAGAGGCATGGACGAAATTATAACTGATCTCTGAAATTATAAACGCATATGTCATAACCCATCCCATTCAGAAATTTCATTCAAAAGTTCACCTCATCGCCTCTTCTGCCACTCTCTCTCCCTCTATCTCCCTCCCCGCTCCCTCACCCTCTCCATCTAACTTACCCATACAGGAATACTGGTGTAGAGAAATTAACCCTTCCAATTAAATAGAGCATAGAATTACAGCACCCACCAATATTTATAGCAATTAAAATATACAAAAAAAACACACACATCACCATAAATCATTCCCTTTGCATACCAGTGACTGATAAACAACACAGTTTTCCTGATGTACGGCTACATTTAGATTATTATAAGTACTTTCTACGAAAGATTAACAAAAAGATACTACCTAGTACATAAGAACTTTTCCGGGCCAAACAAAAAAAGCAAAAACATAAAAACTTGCCTGGTGAAAGTTTTTTGCTCTAAAATTTGTTTAAGCTCAGTGAACTCGCCTCCATCAGCAGTAGTACTTGGACCAGCACTTTGATCAACTGTGCCTTTTTGCACTCCAGGAGGATACTGTACAACAGACATTTCATACAGAAGACATATCAAGATGATTTACATGCAGAATAACATTATCAAAACCATAAAAATAAAATGATAAACCTAAAAATTGAATTTCATTTAAACTTGTTCAGCTTAAAATATATATATATATATATATATATATATATATATAATAGCACACCACCATAACTCAATTAAAATAATTTTTAATTGACAAAGGACTAAAGAAACAATAATTAATTCTCATTCAATGGGTGCACATTGGCCCAAAAATATAGTTTGCCTCATGCAACCACTCGTGGCTTTGGGTAACAGAAAGAAACTCTCAGGAAACAGGGTACGAGACTCACGCACTAAGTTTCCTTTTTAAAATCTCATTGAACAGTAACCCAGATGCTTTACGTCAGTGCATTTCTAGACAACAGAATAATTATTAGCAACACAAAATGTGGATCTGTAACATGGACTACTCATACCAAAAAATAAACATGGATGAATAATTAAACCAAAAACAAAGAAAAATTGATTAGATTAACCAAAATGAACAGGTTCAACACGTATTGACTCACTTCAACCAACATGAATTCCACAAACTGAGCAGTTTGACCGGTTAAAATGTCCATCCCTATTCAGCAACGAAACCAGGATGTTTACTTCTTTTTTTCCTGTCAGTTTTTTTGACTCTATTATGTCTTTCTGTCTTCATTTCTTGCGATTACAAGGAGTTTTTTCTTATCAATTCTAGACTTTATTAATGGATCAACTAGATACCAAGATCATGTCTTCCAACAGAACTTTAGCCAAATAAACCTAACTGCACTTATATTTCCTTAACCCCCTAAATTATTCTAACACTCGACATAGAGGAAATTAGAGCGCCAAAATTCCTGTTCACCTAACTTTCTAATTTAAAACTATGATCTTACATCAATCATCAAAATTTGTAAATGATGGGAAGTTAAAAAAAGGTTGCATGCTTATAATACTCAAACATAGGGCAAAACGTAGATTCAAGTGTCATGTACTGCCTACAACTCATAATTTCAGAAAAGAATACTGTAATGTTATCAACAAACAGAATGTTTAACACAACATGAGTATAAAGCTTAATAATAAAATAAAAGGTATGGGATCCCAGTTACTAGATCAAAGCACAATGAGTGCAAAGAATAGAAATATACAACACCTTTACACTTACCATGGTAACATCTTCTTTGCCCTTGATCCTTACTTCATGATTTACCCCTGGTAAAGTAACAGCAGATTAAATTCATGAATAATTGGCAAAGAAATCAACAAAGCAATCACAGTCCTTTTCAGAAAATAAGGCAGAAAAGAGTTCATGATAGCTAATCATTATTCTGTTATAAATGAACTGACATCTTATAATAGAAAGTACAAGGCATTCAAGATAACATTGACATACACGCAACAACTGCGAGCAAAATAATTTGACATTTCGCTTTCGTATCTCATTCAAGAAACCAAAGGAGCCAACAACCAGCTAAAATTTAAAGTCACAACGACAGCTAAAGAAATATCATCCTATAAAGAAAGCTTCTAAAGCAAGCAATCTTATGTATTCTCAGGAACTTCAAATTTTCCCCAAAACCCAAATCTACAAAAGAAAAAATACGGGTGATATGGCAGTCACAAATAAAACAAAAAAACTAATCAAGGGAGAAAGTTCAACAGGCTCTTTCGGATAAAGTTCAAATGGCTCTTTCAGATAAGACACCAATACCAGAGACTGTATGAATGCAAAAGACGATGTACTATCAAGCATCACTCTTACAAGAAGCACACCTGACTCATACCAATTTACATGTTAAATAACTAAACCAGCAGTAGAATATAAGGGGTGCATGGATTTTATGCCTTCCTCCTATCAAAAATAAAGGATTCATATGTCTTCCAAATAGTGTAACTTGGCATGCATTATTTGAAATTCAGACCCACTAAAATTTAGGATTCGGTCAATTACAATTTCAATCGTTTATCGTTGAACATTCATGTCTTTACAAGTTTTTCCTGCAGACCCCACAATTATTATAATGAACCTAATGAATTCGAGATCTGATATTCCACAACACAAAAACAACTTGCATAACCCAACATGAAGCAACCAACTACCCAAATTCAACCCTCACACACTGGCCCCAGGAAATTAATTGTTAAGACAAATTGAAACAAAATTAGCTTTGAAATCAGCAAAAACATAACAAAAGGCGTCCCAAATAAAGAAAACCCAACTCCCACATTTGATTGAACAAAGCACCCAAAACTTAGGCCGCAACTTAGGTCGCAACTAAGAAACCACCAAAGCCCTTAGCATAGTAAACAAAGGTAGTCTCGAAAGCAGAAAAAGCCGAACCTGTCGAAGGCGACTGAGGCGGTGGAAGGCGTTTGCGAAAGACGGAGGAAAAGAGGCGGTGGGCGCTGTAGGAGATGAGCCGCTGAGCCGGATCGACGAGCTTCGAGAGCCAGCCATCGTTGGCGGTGCTAGGGTTTCGCAGTGACGTGGGCGGCCGATCGTATGGCGTCGAATGGGAGGTCCTTCGAAACGGCGTCTTCCGAAACTTGCCTCCCGCTCCCATTCCTTCATACGCCTGCTTCTGCTTCTCTTCCCGCGCCGCCGCCGCCATGAGAGAGAGAGAGAGAGAGAGAGAAAGAGAAAGAAAGAGAAAGAGAGAGAGCGCTAGGGTTTCAAATATTTTGGGGGTAGAGAGAGAAAGGGATGCGACAGCAAATTAGGGTTTTTAATTGCACCGAGAGCGTGGAATTGAAAGGGGTCAATATGATATTTTACCAAAATAAAATTATCTGTTGTCAGGCGCGCGAGAGAGAGAAAGAGAGAGAGAGAGTGACGGAAATTGAAACGAGAGAAAATTATCTGACAGGTTTCCGATGTCATCTTTCTTTTTTATTTTATACCGGGTAAAACTAAAAAGGGAAAGGAAATTCCCAAAACCACAAAAATGTTGAATTTTTGTAATTATTTTTTCTCAATTTTTAATTCCGAAAGGGAACCCATTAAAATGTAGGACTCTCTATGTGAGAGAGAAAAGTTCAAAAAAAGGGTTTTTTTTTTTTAAAAAAATTTCAGAAAAGAGTTTAAGTTCTATCGCGTCATATGATTGTGAAAATTAGTTGAAAATCTATATATATAAAGCAAAAGATATAAAATGGTAAAACATTCAAAATACCAGAAAATGTCTTTGGTTAATGCAAACATTAAGAATTGAAATTATTAATTAAATGAGGATAATATGATAAATTCACACTTTTTATATGCAAAAAAAATTAAAATTAAAGAAAAATCAGATAATGAATCCTATTTTTATGGAACACAACTACCCATTAATTTTTTTAATTCTAATTATGCACTCTTTGATAATGACAAAAAAAATTAAGGGGAAGAAAGAATGCAGGATAACTATTTTGAAGCGCTTAACGATCCCCTTTTCAAATTATAGGTAAAGTAAATTTCAATGTTGGCTTTAAACTTTTACCTATTTTGATACGAGGGAAAACAAAAAAAAATTATACTGGCGTCGAATATCAAGAACCAAAAAATTGACAAAACTCCCAAATTTAATTGAAAATAAGCAAAAGTGTGGGAGGAAAATCCTAGTTAACAAAGGAATAGCAAACCAAAACTAAACGAGAAAGGAAAGCACAAAATTACTAAAACACAAATTTGAAAAACTTAAAGAATGTCATTAAATCACAACATACTGGTGTGATTTTCTTCTAAACGACATGGTTTTCACCCAATACTAATGTTGGAGCCCTGAAATGTTAGAAAATTCAAGATCTATTATTAAACAAATACCACTTATATTAACTTTTGGACAAACTACAGTAAATCCCCCAACCTATAGGGTCATTTACGAGTTCATACTCAATTTTGGGGACATTTACGAGTACATACTCAACGTCGCGGAAAACCTACAATTTGCCCCCTCCGATGCGAGATCATCAAAAAATCTATTATCTGCCTATGTGGCATTTATGGGACCCATTTTTTAATTGACGAACGTATAGGTGGACAAATAAATAATAAAATATTATATACATGTTAAAAATAATTTTTAAATAATATTAAAATTCCCTCTGTTTCGTTATTGTGCAAACCAAATTTCGTGAATCTAACATTGAGAACCTCTTTGATTCTTCCAAAAAGATGAAACCCCAAGTCCAGCTTAGTCGAATTCCACTACCCATATCCAAAATGAAGCATTTGAATGAGTATACAAAACATATCACAAAGTGCAAATGAATGGATTTCATCACAATTTTAAAGAAAAACCATTTGTTCTGTTTCATTCAACCAAAACATGCACTCAAATCTACTTTCTCAACATCCAAACAAAGCCAGAAAGCAAGAAAAGAAAGGCAACCCATTAAAACCCGTTACTTTCTGGGTGAGTTTTGCAAAACTTTGAGATCTGGGTTTGAGAGAATCCATGGTTTCTCATAAGCCCCATAATGAAGTCTGCATTTTTTGAGGACTGCAACTTGATCCCTTTGGAAGTTGAAATCGCATCTTCTGGCGACAACCATGGTTGAGGTCGACGATGATCAATTTGGAAAATTGAAAACCCCCAACCGAAGTGACGATCAATCCTTAATTGGGACGCCAAGGAACGAAGATGCAGTCAGTTTGGGTAGGGTGGGCCTGGGAAGAGAAAGAGACGAAGAGGAATTGTTTTCTTTTGGTTTTTTATTTTTAATTTAATTGAATAATATTATTTACTTGTTTATAATTATTTTTAAATAATATAGAATTTTTTTAGTATTTGTTTGTCCACCTGTAAGTCCACCTCATTAAAAAATGGAACCCACATTTGCCACGTTGGCATTTAACAGATTCACTAACGATTTGGCTAACGAGGGGGCAATTTGTAGGTTTTCCGCGACATTGAGTATGTACTCGTAAATGTCCCCAAAATTAAGTATGAACTCGTAAATGACCCTATAGGTTAGGGGGTTTACTGTAGTTTGTCCTTAACTTTTTTATTGTCTCTTAATTGATAGACTTATTATAATTGTCCCGTAAGGACCAAACTGGAACACTTTGGTATTCAAGGGCCAAAGTCCCACAAGAGCCAAAATTCCATAGGCAAAATGAAAATTGAATTTTAAAGTTATGTCACAAACTTGTATAATTTATATATATATATATATATAGAAAAACTTATAATAATTTATTAATAAAACATAATAAAGTACATAGCAGTCATAGTGCAAAATATGAGTACAACATCTTCAGTGACCAAACATAAAAACAATTTGGGTTGATCTAGAAAGAATTATGCATAAATAAATAAAATATTTAACATCCCAATTCGGCAGACAAAAGCACATGTACTCAAACTTACAATACATATTTACTGGGCAATTTGTATAGTTAGGTGTAAATTGTCAAAAAAAGTTCAAGTAGCCAAGCATCGAAAGGGGAAAAGTTTAGGTTGTATTGCTAAAATTTTGCCTTTATTATTTTTTTAATCAAATAGAAACTTCATTAGATAAACTTCAACAGTATAATATAAATAGTTAATTGTGCCTTTGTTTAAATTGTTAAAACATATGTTCTCAATGTAAATAGTTAATTATGTTCTTTTGAAATGATTTGTTATTGACACTTCAAAAAAGTATCATACATGTATTCAATTTAGATTTTTAAAGAGTTTATAAAAGTCTAATATTATGACTTTTAAAAAGTATTTAAAATAGATTCAACAAAAATATAAGTGAATTCTTGAAAGTAAATTGCAAAGAATTTTGAGTATCGAAAATATAAGTGTGGTGACTATTGTGTATTAAGTATTGGGGATTTAATTAAGGATTGTATTTTGACCATTTTTCAATCCAATCCCACTTAATATAATGAGCATTTTCGAGAGTGAAAGTGGATGGCCCCAAAAGTGGGATATGCTCATGTTGATGGATGCTTGATTTGATCCATTATGGGTCATTTGGTATGGCAGACTGTCATAGACTGAAATAAATCCTGAGACTCTCTTGGATTAGCTCAGATTAAACTAAGTTGGATTAAGTACTGACCTAAGTTTGGTGCTGCGTTGGACTAAGAAACTGGATTATAAAAATAAAGAAGACTTATGTTTGGTGTTGTATTAGACTAAAAATAATTTTTTAAATTTTTAATTAAAGAAAAATTAATAAAATTCTAATATTTAATTTTAATTAAGGATTTCTTTAACCTAAAAATAAATAAAAAGAAAACAAATAAATTCTAATATTTTTAACAAGCTTAAACTCTCTTATCTCTTTTTTTTTTCTTTTTTCTTTTTTTCATTTTCTCCTTTTCTTTCTTCCTTCCTCTGTTCTCCATTGACTTTTCTTCTTCCTTTCCTTCTTGGCCCGTTTCTTTCTTTTTTTTCTTTCTTCCTCATTTCTTCTTCCTTTCCAAGCCGTTCCTTCTCTTTTCTTTCTTTCTTCCTATTCTTTCCTTTCTCTTTTCTTCTTCCTTCCTTCCTTTTCACTCTCTCTTCATGACTCACCCCAAGTTTTAAAAGAGCCAGATCCACTTCTGGGTATGTGGTGGTTGCAAACACCCACCCCTATCTCTCTCTAGTTTCACTAATTAATGGTTGTGGTGGTTCAATTGGGTGGTGACAGTTGTTGAACTAAGTATGTGGTGGTTGATTATGAGTGGTCATGATGCTTTGATTGACTGATTGGGTGGTGATGATGGTTCGATTGGGTTTGTGGTGGCTGGTTATGGGTTTGATGGTGGTGGTCTGATGGTCGTGGACTCATGGTGGTGGTGGTGGTTAAGCTCGTGTGTTTGATGGTGGTGGTGGTATCCAATCAGACTTGCATGTTCAATATAGCACCATCGTTATTTTGAGAACCACGTTTCGGGCTCGCTGTATTAGCCAAGCGAGTCCGATGTTTTTTCCCCCTTGGACTATACAATCTCATTTAAGTTAATCCCCTCCCTTACCAAACATAGGTTTCAAGGACTATTTAACACAGTCCAATCCAGTGAGGCATAGTGAGGCAAAGTGAGGCATGCCAAACGTCCCTTAATTCCTTGCAATAGCGCCCACAAAAGCACAAAGTTGAGCAAAAGTCTATCACGCTCTCGCCACCCAACCATTAAAAAATTCATTATTCTTGTATGTAGAAAAAAGAAGAAGTTAAAATTAAAATTAAAAACCCAGTTGCACCAACATCTCCGACACCCACCCAGCCTCCACCACTCCCATCACACAACCAAGTCTCAACCACACCATCAACTCCATCACATCAAGTTCTCTTTCTCCGATGAGATAGTAACACATACCTCATCCCACCAACTTGTCAAAGGTGAAGAGGCGGATGAGTGTGTATTGAAAGAGAGGGGTGTCGTAGCTAGTTTGGAAGGTCTTCATCTTGGGCTGGGATCGATGTTAGTTTCATTAGGCAAGCCACTCCCCGTGTACAACTCTGACAAGCTCTTCTTCTTCTCTTCACCACGAGACCAAGTTTACCCATGTAACGACCCGGTCCTAAATAAATAGGTAAATATTAATTTATTCAGATAAAAGATCATTTTGCCCCTAGAATATTTTATTAAGTTTAAAGTTGACTTTTTGACCGGGAAGGAATTTGGGAATTTCAACTGTACCGTTGCATAGAGCACGGTGATATAAGTTCGTAGACACGTAATGGGCTCGAATCGAAGTTGAAACGAAGA